TTATGATGATTGTCTTGCTTTACTTGATGGTCGTCTCAAACAATTAACGACTTTGATTGTTACTATTGATAAAATCGAATATTCGTCGAATGTTTACAATTTAGTAAGTTTATACTTTATTAGATTTATTTTTTCAACTTAGAAAAAAACAAAAATACTATGTAGGATAATAATTGGTTTTATATTATTATAGATAGATTTTTTTTTTGTTAATGAATTAGTATTGATTTGAATCAATTATAATTAAATAGATGTGAAATGAATGCTCGTGTATTCGATAAGCAAAAATACAGTCAATTTTATATATTAGATTTTCTTACTATATACAATCTTTACTTTTTTTTTTGGTCACTTAGATCGTTTTCGTCATTGTTATTGTTTTCTAATAAATAGAAAAACTACAAGAAGCATGAGTATGAAAGATGAAAAGGATCAAACGTAATAAAAGAAGAACAGATAGAGATTATTAAATATAGAAAAGCTAAATTGAAATAAGTTTCATTTGTTATGTATTGATGAGTTGTTCGAAGAAGATTTTAATGTAAATGATATTTGTTCAAATCAATTCTGATGATTTTCTGTAATGCAAATAGTCATATCATATCTGATGATATGACTTGTTTTCTATACAAATAATATTTTTTTGTCTAATACAGATATAATAAGAAACTTGATCTAAAATTTTTAAGTCCTTTCAATATCCGTTATTTTTTTATATTCTAGAAGTATAGAAATACAATATGATTATCTTATGTTATCATTTTAGAAGAACATATTTATATGATAAAGTAGAAGAAATATTTAAAAATGAATTAAATAGAAATAGAGATGTTTTTCAATCTTGAATTATTTATCTAAACTTTTTTTTTGTTATTTTTATTGATTAATAATATATTGTTTTATATTTTTTCTAGAATAATTTACCTAATTTGAAATGTTTTTCTTTAACAACATCTTGTTGCTCAACAGTTTTATATGATACTCAAATTCTATCTCTTTTTCGTCGTATGTTAAATCTTGAAGAATTAACATTATATATTACTATTAAAAATCGAACTACATTGATCGATGGTATTCATATTTCTAATGAAATTCTTGTTCATATGCCACGACTTCACATATTTGACTTTTGTATTTCTACTAACATTAATATGGATCATTTAGGGCATTTTTTATCTAAAGATGATATTCAACGAACTTTTACTAATACAATATATCGACAAGTGGATTGTATTATAAGTAACGGATATAATATTGCCACATATTGTGTCTTTTCATTACCATTCATGTTTGATTGTCTTGAATCTATTGGTAATACATTTCCAAATATTATTTTCAGTAATGTTACACGGTTGACAGTGAACGATATAGTTCCATTCAAACATGAATTTTTCCATCGAATTGCTTGGTCTTTTCCTTTACTGAAACATTTATGGATTATTAATCGTGAACCACAGGGATCAAAATCAGACAAATTGAATTTTAATTATAATCAATTCTATTCAATTGTTAAATTTCCTTATCTTATTTCGCTTCGGCTTGATACTACTTATGTTCATTATACCGATCAATTTCTCAATGAGACAAAAACACATCTACCTCGTCTAACCAAATTAACAATCTGTTATAATGATTTATACATGGTGACAAGAAACTTTAGAAGAGGTATAACACGGCTTAATTGCAGGAAAATAAAACAATTAATTATCAATACATTAATGCCAAGAATAAAACGCTCAAAAAGTTTCAATGATTATTTTCCTGTGTTAGAATCCTTCGTTTGCCCTTTACTATATGAATATAATAGATAATGTAAACATATTAATAGTATTTTTTCAATCGAATCATATTATCCAAGAATTATTAATTACAAATGCTTATTAACTCTTGAATTTTTTTTTCTCCAATAAATATTTAAATTTTACATCTTGTTTATTATATGTTATATATCAACAAAGATTAGTTTGTTTATCTCATATGTTTGAAATAGTTCAATAAATAATAAAAATCAATCTATTGTCTATTCATAATCAGTGATATATTGTTTTAAATAAATTATTAGAATTAGATAAAATTAGATTTAAGTACTTTTTTTGTATATGAAAATTCAATATTGTGTTTAGTAGCATTTTGTTTGCAAACTTTAACCAATAACTTTAATATATTCAACTCTTCAAATATCAGCTATTAATTATTATTGTTCTTCATTTTGCGTCTAGATGAGCTGTGAAAGTCATTTATTTATTGCTTTTTAGTTCTAGTTCAATATTGTCACAATGGTCAAATTTGAAACATTTTTTCTGAATATCATTGTAGCAGCAGAACCTTTATTAATAGTTCATCATAACGTTGCAGTGACGGATTTTCTTCTGTGATAGATATTTCTAGTTCTTTTTTGAATTTCTGATTATACTTATTTGTTAGTGATTAAATCGATAAATAAGATGGTTATTGAAAACATGTATGCTATAATATAAAGGACAATTTGATATTGAATCTAACAGATTTGACGTAAATGTAATCTGGAATTATGTTTATCATAATCAAGGGGATAGTCTTTTTCTAATGGTAAACGATAATCAGCAAAAGCAAGAACACGTTCACCATGATTACTTTATTTATAGAAAATATTTTTTGAATTTTTTTTTTAAATGAAATTTAGTTTTTTTTTTTTTTTTTTACTTAATTCATTGAATGCAGCTTCATATTGTCTTTTCCAAAATTTATTAAATTCAATTTCACAACCATCAACATATATAGTTGCACAATTTTTAAGAATTGTCTTTGATGCTCCTTTCATAACAAGTAAATATCGTTCATCTTGATCATATGTTGAATGAATTGATAATTGATAACGATTCGATGATGAAAATTGAACTTCACATATTTTTGCATTTTTTGAACGATAATGTGAAACATTACTTATCTTTATAAATTATTTTATTTTTATATTATATATATAAGAAAAAAACAAATAACATACAATAGCTTCCATATATTTAAGAATAGCTATTTCACTTGCATCACCTTCACATTCTCGTTGAATAATTGGTCTTGAACGATTACTTGGATTATCTTTAAATGTAGCTGTATTACATAAACTAGCATATCGTGCTAATGCATTCTAACAAGGAGAATATGTTATATAATTTGATTCTATTTAATTAAATTTTTTTTAAATATAGTTTTAAAAAAAAGATCTATTTTACGTGATTGAAAAACGTCAATATCACAATCAATAATATGATTATCGAACCACATATGTGCAACAGACATTTGATTTTGTGTTAATGTTCCTGTTTTATCAGCACAAATAACTGTTGTTGAACCAACAGTTTCAATAGCTTCCAAATTTTCTTACCAAACAATTTTTTCTTGCCATTCGTTGAGCAGTCAATGTTAAACAAACCTTTCAATTAATTATTATCAATTTTAGTTAGTTTTTTTCTTACTTTTAATCAAATTTACTCACAGTCACTGTCGCTAGAAGACCTAAAAAATACAATTTTCTTATTTTTTTTTTACAAATTAATTTTTAAAAAATTATACCTTCAGATACTTGAGCAACAATTATACTGATAAGAAAAACAACAGCTTCAACATATGTATAAGCAAGAGAAAAGTGAACAAATAGAAAAAATAAAACCAACAACAACTGCAATTATTGTTATTATACGAATGAAATGATTTATTTCACCTGCCAAAGGAGTATTACCATGTTCAATACCTAGAAAGATTTTTATTTTTCATTTTAATATTTAAAACCAAACCTGCTGTTAAATTAGCAATTCATCCAATAAATGTTTTATCACCATAGTACGAATAACAACTCCAATACAGGAACCTAATATTTTACTTATTTTATAATAAGAACTCGAAAGAAAAAAAATACTTTCAACAGCAAATGTACCAAAAAAAGTTAAATTTCTTGTTTCTAATATATCATCACTTGTATATTCAATTCTTCGAGCTTGTGGTTCAGATTCACCTGTTAATGATGAATTATCTACTTTAAGACCATGAGCACGAATTATTCGAATATCAGCCGGAATACGATTACCACGATGAATTTCAACTATGTCTTTAAGTTTTTTTTTAAATAAAATTTTATTTGATTAATTTAATAGAGAAAATTTTTGTTTTATTAATAAAAAGAATCAAACCTCCAACAACAATTTTATTAGGATTTATATTTCTTGATTCTCCATGTCGAACAACACAAGCTTGCTAAAATAGAATATAAATCTAATTTAAATTTGATTTAATTAAAATAATACCTGCCTATGGAACCAAATATTTAAATGATTCCATTATTTTAGAACTTTTTGCTTGTTGATGATAAGAAAAAAAATCCAGTTATTATAATAACACTAGCTAATGCTATTCCTAAATACATCTACCAAAGGGTTTTTTTTTAAAGAGAAAAACAAAAATAAACATTAATTATAATTTAAAAACATTATCATATTGTGGATCGTCTAATGTCTATAATTCAAGAAAATGAGCAAAAAAACAAAGACAAGCACCAGCCCATAGAAGCATTGCAAAACCACCAAACATATTTTTAGCTAAACGAACTATTTCAGATGTTCTTCGAACTGGTGTTAAATCA